TGCTCACAAAAGCAGTCATGGCAATGACACAGGGACTCTGATGCTCTGTCTTCCCTAGGGAGAACTTCTGTCAGGCATTAGTGTACAACAGAGGATCTAGGTCTGCTGGTATACACAGTGAGCCTCAGCAAATGGAAATATCTCTGCTTGCTTCTCTATACATGTAGCCCACGTGGAGTCACAAGGAAGCCACAGAGTTCCCAAATCCTCTGCAGTAAAGTGCTCTTGTTTCTCCCACAGGGCCATCCTGTTTGCTTTTAGGCTCCGGTGCTTTCAAAGCCAGAAGTTCACATGCTGTTGGTGGCATTAGGAGACCACAGCAGATCCAGATTGAAAGGGGTCAGTGATCCACTGATCTGTTTTTTTGTTCTTGGCAGCTCAGTGCTTGGAGTCTCCAACCTGCAGGCCCCAGTGGCATGGCAACACTTATGCTCGCAGCTCTTCCGTCTGAGAAGCCATTCCCCTATGCTCTGGAGGAAGCTTTCTTCCTGGGACACAGGGGAATGAACAGTGGGTAAAGACAGATGGTAGGAAAGGGCAGACCTTGGGGCTAATTAACACTGTTCCACTTTGACTTTTCTAATGCTCCTCTTCAGTGCCATGAAATTTAGTGTATAGAGAGGTGAAAGAAGAAGAAAGGCGTTAAATAGAGAGAATTTGAAAAGAGAAGGCAGCTTGGATAGATGATGGTGGATTTGATTTGGTCTAGAGGTGACTGTGGGACTCGGGCTAGTAGGTGTGCAGAGCTATGTCCAAGTAGAAGAATTACATGAAACATGGCCATAAGGAAGCCACAGGGGCAAAAGCGAGGGGAGTTAGAAACCAGCCTGTCTTGCATGGAAGACCACATGCTCCTAGACTTAGAAGATCATGCCATTTTCTCCCTCCCACCTTAACCTGGCTGCCCACACTGCCAGACAGATGCTGCCCAACTCTTCCAAGAGCGGCACACTTAATCAGGGCAAACCTCTGTAGCCCCTCTAGGACCACACTGAGGGAAGGAGTAACTAAGGAATACATATATGCTCATCAGCTTCTACCAGTGGGTGGGACAGTGCTACTGAGGGTGCCTGGGAAGGTGCTGGATGGGCTGCCCTGGCTGTGCTGTTTCCCCTCACTCCTTCAGCCCCCCTGTTTTCATCCACCAGTATGGCATCAATCTGGCTCAGTGAGAATTCCCATTTATATTTCAGCCTTGCCTGTGACACCGTCTCTGAGTCCCTGCAGCTCTGACGTGTGCTCGCCGGCTCTCCCAAATGCTCTGCTTCGCTCAGCCCCTCCTTCTCCTCAGCCTCCTTGCCATCCCTCACCCCACCAAGCAGTCCTGCTCTCTCGCTCCAACCAGCCCCTCATGCCGCTGCTGACGTCCTTGCTTTCAGTCACTCCATCTTCCCTAGACGTGCCTCAGCCCCTCTCCCTGTGCTCCCAATTAGCGCAATTGCCAGGTTTAGCTGGGCAGCTGGCGCATCCAAGTCTGCACCGTGAAAAGATGGGGATTTCTGCTTCAGAGCAAAGCTGCCTACAGGCTCTCTGGTACCTGGGGCTGTTCTCACAAATGCTGAGCCTTTGGTCTTGCCTCTCACTGAAAAAGTCATTGCCCAGGCTCGTAGGGATAACCAAATGTCAGAGTGACTCCCCACCTCCCTGCTCACAAATCCTCACTGAAAGCCTGTTCTATGCAGCTAGAAGCTGGCACATAGGGTGTCCCTTGCTAGGGTTGGCTGGCTAGGTAATTGGAGGAGCAGAAGATCCTCCAGAGAGCCTTAAGAAGCATATATGTGGCGTGTGTACTAAATCTGAATCCCCCACATTAAATAGGCTGGGTAGGTTTATGCTCCCACGGGCTCTTGAAGTGCACAAGCTATAAAATAACTTCTGAAGGATTAATATGACAGCCTGAGCCTTTAGATGCCAAACACCCAGAGACTGGGGGAAAGAGTTTTTGTCATGGTTTAACCCCAGCTGGCAGCTAACTACCATGCAATCTCTCATACTCCTGCTACCCTCTGTGGGATGGGGAGAACTGGAAAAAAGGTAAAACCCCATGGGTTAAGTACAGCTTAATAATTCAAATAATTATAACAACACCAACAGTAATAATAATATAAGGAAATAGAGAAGAATAAACCCCAAGAAACAGAAGTGATGTACAATACTTCTCACCAAACGCTGACCCTGTGTTCCCAACCTGTTCCCAACCAACTCCCCCAGTTTCTATACTGAGCATGATGTGCTGTGGTATGGAATATCCATTTGGATTGGGTGTCCTGGCTGTGCTCCTTCCCAGTTTCATGTGCTTAAGGATCAGGTGGGGGTCATGTAAAGGAGAGAGAATATCCAGCAAAACAGAGCAAAATGGTGGACTTTGGGGACCAGCACCTTAGGAAAGTTGGGGTTCTTCGAAGCTTTCAAAGATGGAACATAGCATAATGGCAGATGCTTGTCACAGGTAGTTTAAGCCTGGATAGAAAGGCTTCCTTTGCCTCAGGAAGCAGTACCAGCTCTAGGAGACCTTTGGCTTAGAAGTGAAGATCTGCTGATCTCACTACCTGCAGGGACCATGCATGACAGTGTCTGTCTCCTGGTGCTGCCTCTACCTCTTCCCCTATCCCTGAAAGCAGCCACCTAAGCAGAGGAGTTTGAAGTCTGCCACATTTTGAAGCTGCTTTCTCTCCCTCTTGTCCCAAACAGAGCTTCTCCCTCCCTTTTCCCTTCCTGGATCCCTGTGCACTCTCTTGAGGGTAAGCTTATCACAGCAGCCCTGCTCATCAGCACAGCCAGCAGTCAGAAAGGCCACAGCTGAAATTATCCAGTCGCCAGGTCCCTTTGTAGGAGGACTGAGGTCACTGTGCCTGACAGCATCCAAGCAGAGAAGATACCCTCCCCAGCCACCCTTTCCTCCTCCCTCTGTCTTTCAGTATCTAGCACACCTCCTTGCTGTATTTAGCTACCTACTGTGAGCTCCCTAGGAGTCTTACGTGTTCCCTGTTGCCTTCATTTCAGTATACCTCCCATAAAGCATCTGCAGCGCAAGCTATATTCCAATGTTTGCTCCCTGCCAACACATTAGAAGTCTTCCTGACACCACTGTGTTTGCATCCCAGTGACAGTGGAGGGCAGTGATTGTGGAAGCTACATGGTAAAGATGCTGAACTGTGACTTTGTATTGTTCCCAGAGAGCAAAAGAGGGAGCAGGAGTAGCCATCCAGATCTTCTGTTGCACAGGAAAAGGCTGAGAGGCTGGAAGTTAAAGGAGAGAGGACTTGTGGCCATGTTGGAAGATGGATAACTAAATCACAGCAGGCTTCTTGTGAAAGCCTCAGTGAAAACACATCTGTAACTCTGAAGAGGCCCTTTGATTTACAGACTTCTCCATGATCGCCTTATTTCCAAATAGTTTACATGGTAGTAACATGAAATTTGGGTAATGGAACATAAAGGGGGAAGGCAGCCATTGAGCAGCAGTGGCAGAACAAGGGACAGTGTTCTGGGATTGCAAGGGAGGAAGGATGGGACAGCAGGGAGGAGTGGAAAAGAGAAGGTCAAAATAACAGTGGGGGTGAGGCAACTTAAATTTTTATGCTTGGTGCTGTGCAAACACAGGTAACAGGGTAGAAACTGAATACCAAAAGGTCTGATTCCAGAATGGAAGTGAAAAATGGATTTTCACAGGACTGGGGGATATTCACTGGTTTGCACTTAGATCACCACAGGATAGGAAGTAACACCAAACCAGCAGACACCTTTAAAAACCTTTCTCCTTTTCCAGTCTGAGAAGAGGTGAATCCAGGGAGTCAAAGGAATGATCTGAGAAAGGGTTAGCCTGGTCCCAGCAATATGAACTTCAGTGCTGGCTGCAGCGAGGTCAGACCCCTGTCTTGGAATGATCTCCCATGGTCTCCACTGTGCTATCCAGGAGTCCATTTCTCTCTCCTGGAGGAGAGAAGATTATTGCCCTGGACTTCTCTTCCTACCTTTTAGAGGTGGCCTTTTCTGAGAACCATTATACTAATTACTTTCTGGACAAGTCTAGGTTGGCACCGAGCTTCTCAAACAACTTGACAGGCTGTTGTTGGCACCACAGCCAACGACAGCTGAGGAGGCACAACCCTTCATGTACTTCATGTATGACCGCTCTGAACCTCTTTGTCCTTTCCTTCTGTTGTCCTCTGCTGATTGAAAAGTTTCCAAGCCAAGCACTGCTGCTTCCAGGTCTCCCTAAAGAGTCTCTGAGCATTTCAGACAGTAACTTGGAGAGCCCTTACTTTCTGATTAAAAAGATGAGGCTCCATTAGCGGAGAGAGGGAGGAGAATGTGAACAAGAGTGGGAGGCCTGCCATTGACAGGGTCCCTGTTCAGTGCTTTAGGCTGTCCCCACTCTCAGTGCCATTCATCAATTTAACCCAATATGATACTGTGGTTTTAAGTGACTCCAGCATTAGAAACTCTGTCAGGCATGAGATTTATGGGGTGAGGTGTGAGAAAGGTGCTTCCTCTGCCAAGTCACACACTGTGCTCTTTTCTTCGTCTTTGTGGGACTAGAAAATTGGGTCCTCACAGGCTTCTCCAACTGGTTTGTGAAGCCAGAGAAAAGACCAGCATTCCTGCAGAGGACTGAAGGAAATGAGTGAGCCTGCAGAGAAGGGGCTAACCAGGGGCATGAGGAAGACAAAGACTTCGGTTTTCTGTGCTTGCTCTCAAACTCTCTTTCCTGTTACCTATACCTATCCACAAGGATGAACTTTAAGCTGAGGCATCACAGCCCTTTTGGGTCTTCTCAATAGGCTCAAGAGCTGTTACTGTTTACTTCCTTATTTATAGCATGGGGCTCACCAGTGCTGTCAGGAGCTTTCTGGGAAGCAGAAACCCAGCAGCTTTCTGTATTAGTTGGCAACCTGCCTGGCTCTGGGGCTCCCAGAGTGGCTAAGGGATGCTGAAGAAAGTGTGGCAGCAGTAGGGGATGACTGTAGTCCCCTCTCAGACTTCTTTGCCAAAAGATATACAAAGAGCCAGTCCCAGCCACACCGAAAGCTCTTGATTCTACAGTATCCTGACTGGTGCTCAGTGGGGCCACTGGGGGAAGGTGCTTAGGAAAAAGAGAGAAGGATGTGGTGGAGGTGGGGAGGATTAGGAGGAGTAATGGAAGATAGAAAGGAAGAGGGACCCTGAGAAAAGCAACAAGCATGAGAAGAGTGTGTAACAGTAGCGCATGAACCAAGAAATGTGCAGCACTCAAGTGCTTTGCTTTCCTGATGCTCTTCTGCTTAATGCACTCTGTGCTTGTCCCCTTAGATTCCATTTCTGTTGGATCCAGCAGTGGCCCTGTTAGCCTCACACTAGGTAACCAGTTTGTGGTGAAAACAAGAAGAGAGAAGCCCTCAACCACCCCTGGCAGAGCAGCTGTCACAATGGATTGGCTTCCAGCATCTTGCCAGCTGCCCCTAGCGCCGGTTGTCTGCATGAGTTAAGAGCCTTCTCCTGAGCTGCTGAGAACTGCCACAGCTAGCCTGTATCATTCACAGCATCCATGAGCACAGGACTGCCGTCCGGACATCGGATGCCCTGCAGCTCCTTGGGCACTCAGCTGGTGCAGAAGGGAAGCAGCATCTATCTGCGCGTGCGCATGTACACACACAAGCACACAACTGTGCAACGGCAGCCTGGGCTAGCATCTCGCAGGCACAAATCCAAGCTGCTGCTTAGGTTTTCGCAGGCTCACACTGGGCATGCAGTGTGGCTGGACACACACATGGACACACATGGCAATGAGAGGTCTGCATGCATAGGTGCACATGGCCCATGAGAACAAAGCAGTACGCACACTGAACAAACATGCATGGGCACATCACGAAGTGTCTTTCCCACCCTTGTCATCCGGTCACTGTAAGTACAGATTGTTTTTTGTTGCATGTCATTTCATCCCTCCTTGTCAGGGTGTTTATCACTCACTCAATCACTCACTCACTCACTCAACTATATGAAATGGCCTGATTTGGCTTTCTCACACCAAAACCTTCTGCCACTTCTGTATGCCCATGCACATGGCTCTGTTCTCATTCCACACTCCTCATCCTCTCACCTTCAGCCAGCTGTGTGCCCATGGATGCCAAAGCCTGGACCTGGAGTGGGCTTGTTTACTCTGTGCCAACCAAAAGCCTGATTCCTGAGTTATTCTGAAGGTGTAAGAAATCCCTGTGTGCTCCTCTCCCCACCCCATACCTCTCCATTTCTCACCACCCCTCATGGGGCCTCATTGCTGCTCTGGGCTTAGAAGATATTATTAAGATTACGAAAAGGGCTGTCACTTCACAGCAGCCAGGTGAAAAACAGAAAGTCTCTGCAATTAGGAATTTGCTAGGGAAGCCAGGGGAGGCAGCACCAGTAGGGTGATGGAGAAGCAGTGGGCTGCCCTTATCACCCTGTCTTCCTTCCCCTGTCCCCTCCTCTCCTGCCCTACTTCTTCCAGTTGTCTCTCTATGCTCTCTTCTTTCCCTTCCCGGTTTGTTTGCTTCCCTGCTGATGTCCTGCCGTGGCACTACCTGCCGTGGGCAGCATCACTGCACCTTAATTAGGTCTGCGGATGAATGCGGCTGTCAGCCTCCCCGCCTCCACGCACAGGCTCCCGCTTCCTTCCCATCCCTGATAAATAGAGCTGATGGGAGATCATTTATCCATAATGGCCCTCTGTGATAATAAATTCTTGTTTCTGGTGGCATTGAGGAAGAAAAGGCAACAGAAATGAAGATGGCCCTGTAGTGACAGAAATACGAGCTGTATACCACATTGGGTGATGTCTGTGGGGAAGCTGGTTAAGAGAAAGAGCATAAAAGTAAGGGTGGGTGAAATACACGGAGGGCCCAAGGGTTGATCTGCTGTGTCAAAAGTTGACTGACTTTGCCAAGAAATGCAGCCTTCTTTCCCCACACCCTGCTGGCATCTTCCACAGTGATGGAGGAGGCAGATGACCACTCACCCAGAGATAACCAGAGGAAGGGAGCAGGGTTGGGAGGCCGGGGAAGAACTCCCAGTGTCAGCAGGAGGCAGGGGAAATTCTGGTTGTCACTAGATGAGACGGATATACAGCAGGTTGTGCGTGGGACCAGATGTGAAAGGATTGGATTGGATGGGGCTTTGAGAACCTGCCTTAGTGGAAGATGTCCCTGTTCATGGCAGGGGTTTGGAACTGGGTGAGCTTCAAGGTCCCTTCCAACCCAAACCGTTCTGTGATTCTATGATCTTGGGCACCCACTGACTTTGCAAGGGAACTTCTACTTATCTCCCTGGTCTTTCAGCCTGGCAGCTAGTGACGGTAGTCAGCAACAGGATGACATTGTGGTTAGTGACTGGGAACGAGACACAATAATAATGCATTGCTGGTACAATTTTTTGCAGGAAGGTGTAATCCAATATCAGAAGCAGCCCCTTGTCAGTGCTTTGTGAGAAAGAAACGGCTGAGAAAAACAGGCAGACCATCACATCCTGGAAATACGAGAAGGGATGCTGGAACTGGAAGGGAAGGAAGTCTCAAAGCATGTCAACTAAAAGCACGGGAGCTGGAGAGAGGGGAGCAATGACTTTCACATGAAACAAGGCTGTCTTTTTTCCTTTCTTCAGTGCCTGGTGCATGAGCCAAGCCTATCTGTTACTGTGCAGTTCCATGATCTCTGCCTGCCCTGCCATGGCACGGCAAAGCTGTCAGCAACCCACACCAGGCTCCCTGGGCTGTGAATACCTCCTTGCCTCCTTGCCATGGCCTCAGCTGTGGACTTCCAAAGGCTGCTCAACCCAAAGAAGGAGACAGGCAGACCTACTGCAGTGCCCGGCGCAGGGGCAGCCCAGAGGGACCCTGTCAACTCAGCAAGTGCTGGGGCAAGGGCAACACCTCTCCCCACCTTTGTCAGAAGCCACGGATGGCTCCAGAAGCAGGTCATGACAACAGCCTGCTTGACACTGTGCGTGCTTGTTCCTACTCACAGGGGAGGCAGTCTGGGAGGAAGGATTCCAGCTCTCCTTGTCCTATCGCTTCTCCTCACCAGCCTTGTTTTGACCCAGATTCATTACAGTATAACGAATCCATGACTCCCCTCAGGATTTCACAGTTGTTGCCATGCTGCATAGCACCACTGCTCACAATTTCACGGTGGTAGCATGGCGGGTGCTCATGCCCTCCTCCCCTAGTAGGGCCCTTGGGGACAAAGGAAAAGATCTTTCAGGCTATATTTGCGCTTCAGCACTCCAGCACACCTCTCTGCTATGGTCACTACTCTGCAGTGTACCCCTGTCCTGTTCTGAGCCTATGTGTGATCAGACCACATTGGTGGTGCCTGCCTGATGTGATACAACAAGGATGCAGGTGAGCAGGGAGCCACGGCATGCTGCAGTCTCCATGGCTTCATCCATGTCTGATGGGAATAACAAGGTATGCTGCAGCCTGCTCTTGCAGCCCAGACTAGATGTTGCTTGTGTAGGAGCACAACTGAGTCTCACAGTTGAGACAACCTTGAGCCTTCAGCAAAGGCTGGTAATGCACAGACACATACAGCACAATGCAGACAGGAGGGGCCCTGTCCCTGCCTTCATACTAAAACTTCCTGTCCTATTAGCTGAACACAGCATGGACGACTTCATATAGTGCAAATGGGACTGTAAGTAAAATTACTTCAGTATAACAAAGATGGCCTAGCCAGAGCTAGGCATGACCCAGCATTATTATGAGGGAGGACAACGTTTCTTGAGGGTAAAGAGACCCTAATCTCATGTCTTTTGTGCTCCTTAGCACAAATTCATCACCCAGAAAGGACCAGCTTATGTTTCCAACCTTTCTATCCCCCTTTGCCTAGATGCCAGTGTAAACACCCTCTCTGTCTGTGCAGACCATGTTTTTGACATGAAGCAAGGTATGCTCTGACAACCTCCCTGCTGCCCTGGCCTGACAGCTGTTCATCACTGGCTGAGAACACCAGCCTCCAGAGCACAGGAGCACTTCCTCCTCATGAATTATTGACACAAACCTTTTCCTTTCCATACCCATGGACTCCCCACCCCTTTCCCTGCCTCTCCTTACGCTGACTGTGTTTGTCAATTACCTCTTCATCAGGCCTTTCCTTTGAAAAATTCTTTTTCATCTTGCAAAAAGCTTTTTATGCTGTCTTTTCTTCCCAGGGAGGGGACTAGGGAGAGATGGCATGTAGGGAGGGCACTACCCGGCCACTGTTAGGAATACAAAGGCAGCTTCTGCATGGCATGCCACTTAATTGGCTGTACTCTGGGACATCGGGGCTCATCCTCAGTGATGAAACAGAGATATGCGGTTCCCTCTCAGTGGAGAACATTGCAAGGGCAGAGATTCCTTTTTAAGGGTGTGGGTTGGGGGGCAAGGTTTGAGACAAATTGCCCAAAAAAGCATAGATTTTCCTCAGTCAAAGCCAGCTCTCCTCTCCTCCTGCTGTGCTGCAGCCAGCTGTTTGCCTTCCTGGAGTTTTCCTCCTCCCAGCCCATGCATCTGGTGAGCTCACCCAGGAGGCATCATCATTAAGTGCCAATGCGGGAATGAACACGAGAACCCTTAATTAGCTCCCGTGTATAAATAGCCTGGTTTCAGCTGGCAGGGGAGGTTGGACCCTGCATCTTGAGTGCCCAGCCCTGGATTCTGGTGAAGTTGTGGGGGGAGTGGGTCTGTGAGGTCCAATTCTAGATATATCACTAGAGGGAGGCAAAGACCTGCCTTATAGCAGCCTCCAGTACCTAAAGGGGCCTACAAGCCTACAAGAAACCTGGAGAGGGACTTTTTACAAGGACATGTAGTGACAGTACAAGGGGAATGGCTTTGAACTGAAAGAGGGTAAATTTAGATTAGACGTTAGGAAGAAGTTCTTCCCTGTGAGGGTGGTGGGACACTGGCACAGGTTGCCCAGAGAAGCTGTGGCTGCCCCATCCCTGGCAGTGTTCAAGAATAGGTTGGACGGGGCTTGGAGCAACCTGGTCTAGTGGGAGGTGTCCCTGCCCATGGCAGGGGGTTGGAATTGGGTGAGCTTTAAGGTCCCTTCCAACCCAAACCTGTCTGTGACCCTATGGTTCTGCTGCAGCTTAGCTTGACCCTAACCCCTCTGGTGATGAAGAGAACTGTTCAGCTGCTGATGTATGGCAGGCATGGGCAGCCCCCAGCCCCACCAGAGGGCAGGAAACCATGGTGGGGCAGGGTTTAAGGCTCTCCCTTCTCTTTCCATATGTATGTCCTGGGTAAAGACAGCGTTGATAACTGACCTGTAAGTTCAGGAACAGGTATAGCTCTCACTTTCCTGTGATGCTGGACATCAACAGGTTATAACTGCTCCTTTCCTGCCTGTGACAGACAGAGTTTCCCCTCACTGTTAGGAATCGGCCTTTATTTGCTACCCTAAATCCCAGTCAGGAATCCACTGGAGGGTAGAAAAAGGTGCAGTATACCCCTGACCCTTCTTTAACAGCATGTGCCAGACAATGGGTACTATTGCAGATCTGGCAATTTCTCCATCCACCGTGCAGCCTCCTCAAACCCTTAGCAGATGTTTTTCCTCATAAAATAAGAGACAAAGTGTTCTTGTGGGTCAGGTGCACATCTGGAATGGAAAAATGAGCATTGGAAAGTATGGAGGGTGGCTACCAGCTACAGACAAGAATAATACAGGGGGTATTGTCTCCCAGGGCAGATTAAGTTAATCTGTATGCCAATGGGGATGTGCCTCAAGAAGAGTCAGTTGGGATCTGTGAAATCAAGGGTGCAAAAGCCAGGTGGGTCTTCACACCTTGGGGGATCAAGGCTGGGGTGTTTATGTATCAGCCCATCTTGCCTGTGTTTTATTCTGGCGGCGAACGTGTTCTGAAAACAAACAGAACATTGAGGAAGAAACTTGTGGAGCGAATGACTGTTTTTTTGGTTGCTAAGCCATCTGTTCTGCTCCAGCAGCTCTCCGAGGGCTCCGCTCCCCATCTCCATGCTTGTGTTCCTGTGTGGGAGGCTGGCGCTGGCTGGCATGGCAGGAGGGAGTATCAGGGTGGAGGGGAGGATGTGTGTGTGCTGGGGAACTCGGATGCTCTGAGCAAATTTGCTTGAGAGGGGAGGAGGAAAGTTGGCTGTGGCAGTGTGTGCAAACATAAGAGGCAGAGGCCAAGCCTGGGAGTGTGTGTGTGTGGCTGTGCTTTCTATGTGTGTCTGGGGGTCTAGGATCAGTGGCACAGGCTGGAGTTTACACCAGGATAAGGAACCACCCCTCCGCAGCTTGGAAGCCATAGTGCTGGTCAGTGCATTGCAAACCTGCCTGCAGGTGGGGGCAAAAATGTGTCTTCGTGCATGTCAATGTGGAGCAGTGAAATGACACTCACGGAGAACGTATGTAGGTGGGCAACAGCAGTGTGGCACCCAGTGGGATGAGAGAAGCGAGGTGCAAGCTGGTGGAAGGGAGCTGTTGTGTGGCACACACTGCAGGCAATGGGGTAAAAGTGCAGAGGGAGATGAAGCCCATGCATGTGGAATTTATGGCTAGCCCATCAATGCGCAGGACCCCAGCTTTCCCATCCTTGTGCCTGTCCACCCCACAGGAGTCTCTTCCTCCTACGCTGCACAGCCCCTGCAGCATCAATTGTGCTGCAGTGATGAGGGATGAAGGCTAATGACCTCTGCCTATTGATTACCTTGAACCAAGCTGTGGAGATCTTTTATTCCCCCACCCTTCCTCATCCCTGCCCTCACTCACATCCTTCCTCGCTCCTTGCCAGACAAGGCAGGGTTGCCATAGCAGCTGACAACTTCCACTGTCCTGCCTCTCAGGAGGACAGGCAGCAGCAGCAAAAGAGATGGGCTTTAGGAAGAAACCTATGGCCTGTTTGTGTCCTTGTCTAATGGGAACAGCAGCTGGGGCTCCTTCGGTGAACTTCTGAGGTGGTGTAGTCACCTCCGAGCATCCAGGTGTCATGGAGGGAGAACTGCTAGTATATTGGGCACACACAATGCTCCTCACCCACAGCCAGTCATACCCAGCTGCTGGGTTGTATTCAGTGGTGCCCACTTCTGAAAGCTAAATTGTCCTGTGACAGCATTAAATAAAGTAGGGGTCTGCAGACCACTCCTAGCTGGCAGTGTAGACATCCTCAGCATTGAATCACACCTCTTCAGGAGTCTTCATTCCCCTCTCTCCCTGTCATGTAGACATGCTGCTGCACTTCAGATGCAAACAGGGCATCAGCTTTCACCCCAGAAGCAGCTGCACTAAAAGGTGAGCTGAATGCCACCCCTGTCTGCCCTAAGCAGCATCATTTAGGGAATGCACTCGATTGACAGCAGCAAGGGAGTTGGTGTTGCTTTGTACAACAGCTGGTGTCCTCTGTAAAGATGGCACTCATTTTGGGGATATTTTATATTTTTTTAAACATTCATTCCTTAGGACAAGATTCTAGATCTTTGATCTACCCTGGTATAGCCATGCTTATATTTTAATGTGTCATTATGTCCTAGTGCACCTTCTCAAACCTCTTTCACCCAAACACTTTAATGGTGTTTCTGTGAATCATAGCCTTTACAGAGCATGCTTCTCCCCACCTCCAAAAAAACTAAACATAAACACCACAATCATAGAAT